AAATTTATTTCAGGTTAATGTGAAGGTACAAACAACCAAGTCAAATATTTGATTTTGTTAGGTAGAATCCCTCTTGCAGTTATGTCCCACTCTGGCTAATTAAAAAAAAAAAAGTTTCATAGAGACAGGGTCTCAGTATATTGCTGGAGCTAGTCCTGAACTTCTGCCTTTAAGCAATCCTCCTGCCTTGGCATTCCAAAGTGTTGGGATTATAGGCCTGAGCCACCAGGCCTGGCTGTGATTTGTGTTTTTAAAAGAATAAGTTAGAATGAATTCATACATATCCCTATAATAATATCTCCATGCTCACTTGTAGCACTTGCATATTCTTTCCTAAAAAGGAGAAAAATAGAGGTAGAGAAACAGCTAGTTAGCTATTGTTTCAAGCCCAGGGTGGGTGTTGCTTCTATGTGTCTGCACAGAACAAGGGTTGAGAGTTACTGGATTCAGTTAGGTGTACTAAATATATTAATGAAATGGATGGTTCTCCCACGGTGAAGTCCCTGTTGTCTTTCCAACTCTTTTGCTTAGGAATTCTTGGATTGATGCTCTCATTTACTTAACTGTGTCTTCTAGAGCACCAACTATGTGCAGGGTCCTTATGGACAGTAAAGATAAGATTCTTTATTTTATTTTATTTTTTGTTTATTTATTTATTTATTTTTGAGGCAGAGTCTCACTTTGTCACCCCTGATAGAGTGCTGTGGTGTCATAGCTCACAGCAACCTTAAACTCTTGGTCTCAAGTGATTCTCTTGCCTCAGCCTCCTGATAGCTGGGACTACTGACACCTGCCACAACACCCAGCTAATTTTAGAGACAGGATCTCGCTCTAGCTCAGGCTGGTCTTGAACTCCTGAGCTTGGGCAATCTGCCAGCGTTGGCCTCCCAAAGTGCTGAGATTATAGGAATGAGACACCACTCCCAACCAAGCTAAGATTCTTTACTTGCCCTGGCTATGGAGGCCTGTTGACTGTCTATGGTGAACGTATCTTGCTCTCTAAGCTTAAATTTTGCTCTTACTCTGTAAACCTACCTTTCTTTTCCTCAATAAACTTTATTTTATGCTTGTCTTAAAAAATAAAAATATTGGACAGCGCCTGTGGCTCAGTGGGTAGGGTGCCAGCCCCATAAACCAAAGGTGGCAGGTTAAAACCCAGCCCCGGCCAAACTGCAACAAAAAAATAGCCAGGCATTGTGGCAGGCACCTATAGTCCCAGCTACTCGGGAGGCTGAGTTGGAAATTGCTGTGAGCTGTCACCACAGCACTCTACCGAAGGCAATAAAGTGAAACTCTGTCTCTACGAAAAATAAATAAATAGAAAGAAAGAAAAAAGCTAGGCGCAGTGGCTCACACCTGTAATTATAGCACTCTGAGATGCCGAGTGCAGTGGTTGATTACTTGAGCTCACAAGTTTGAGACCAGCCTGAGCAAGAGCAAGACCCTGTCTCTACTTAAAAAAAAAAAAAAAGTAAAAAAAAAAAAATCAGCTGGGTGTTGTGGCAGGCACCTATACACCTGGTTACTTAGGAGTCTGAGGCAAGAGGACTGCTCGAACCCAAGAGTTTGAAGTTGTTATGAGCTATGATGACTCCACAGCACTCTACCTAGGCCAAGAGAGTGAGACTCTATCTCGAAAATAATAATAATAATAATAAGATTCTCTAGGAGGGATGATAAGACAGGTCACCATGATATGATAGAAACAAAGAAGCAATGAAAAGAAAGATTTAAATAAAGTCAAATCAAAGAGAGTTTCAGTCCTGACAGACTAATCAATGATGAACTTTTCCTATAGTGAATATAGAAAGAGAAAAAAGTATGTCTGTGGGCAGCTGAAACTATATCCCACAACTGAAACATGCTAATTAGGCTGTAACATGTAAGGATGGGTGTAGTTAAATTCAATGTAGTGGATGAATGCCATCCAAACATTTACCTTTACTTCATTTTCTTAACATTTTTAATGTGTTATTTCTCTAACAGAGATGTGGGCATTTAACTTTCATAGTATGTCAGGTAAACAGAATTGAAAATATGAGGTAGTCTCCCACCTTAATAGATCAAGTTTTTCTCTTCCTTTGTGTCAAGTTTTTCTCTTCCTTTGTGTAATGATTCTAAAAAATGTATAAATTGCAGTCCCTCCACTTCTTGGGGCAACTAAACGTTGCCCATGGACCTTGATTTGGCTATCTGGGGGATCAGGACAAGTGCACAAGTCACCTCTGCCATGTTGGTATTTGGGAAAGAAATGCAAATACTTCTTACTAACTCCTTATAAAGCCAACCCAAACTTAACTAACTTTAGAAATGGCAACATAAAGTGAATTCAACTTTTTAAATCTTGTTTGCACAGAATAAGAAACCAGGCTTTACAGTATCATGCACTCCAAAGAGAAGCACAAACTCAAGCCAAGAGCCAGTTCCAGATATGAAGCCAAACTGGCCTAGAAACAGATATCCTGCCACAAAAAGAGACCGTGCTACCATGGTGGCATACCCATCCTTGCACATATACACATATCCATAGGTGCTCTCGGGCTATGCCACACGCCTCTTCTTCAGGGTGTTTGGGGTTAGATACACTCTGAAACGTGGAAAAGGTATGATTGGAAACCACATACATTCATGGTATACTGTGTTGTGCATTCAACATACACTGCTCTTACACCATGTACTTGAACCCTGTGCATGTGCTCAAGATGCATACCTCATGAACGTAACTGTTTTTTCACAAAATGAAATTTTATTGTGATGTATAGAAAAGCTTCCTTTATCAGAAACTGAAGTGTGTGCTCATGGAACTACAGCATGTATTTTAACCAATAGATATTCTAAAATTATGTGCAAATCAATTTTAAAAGATCAAACTCTATTTTCAACATATTTTGGAAGTATTTTTTTAAAACCTGTGTCAGGGTTCTCGTGATGAATGATCAGACTGTTGTATATCAGGTTTGCTCAATATGAGGTATTCCCACATAGTGATAATTCATGTATTACCCAGAATTTAATGTCTCATATATTATGCTTAACAAAGTCTTGTAAATTTTTAACCTGATAATTAAAATTCTTTCTAACAAGTTGTTTCCTTTGATTGGTTAACTGCATAATCTTATGTGAATAGATGTTTTATGTCAACCTTTTCTTTCTGAAAGTCCCTCATGAGCACCAACCAGAGTCTGCCAGGTGCAACATGTCATATCAACCTTCTGGAGTTGTGTTAAAGAAGGGTCACTCTAACTCACTCTGTTTTGACTTTACCTCTTCCTTTCACATTGGATTGAAGGCTTTCTAGCATGTTTTCATTATCACTTTAAACCCTTAGCCACCACCACTGCCTGGGTGGATAGGGATTAGAACCACATGACAGGGCCAACCACAGTGGCTCATGCCTATAATCCCAGCACTCTGGAAGCCCGAGGCAGGCGGATCATCTGAACTTGGGAGTTTGAGACTAGCCTGAGCAAGAGTGAGACCTCATCTCTACTAAAAATAGAAAAACTTGAAAATTTGCTGGGTGTATGGCAGGCACCTTAGCTACTTGGGAGGCTGAAGCAAGGGGATTGCTTTGAGCCCAAGAGTTTGAGGTTGCCACCACATTGTACCTGTGATTACATTAATGTACACAGCTATGATTTAACAAACAAACAAAAAAAAACTTTTAGAACAGTTTAAGATTTACAGAGAAATTGAGCAGACAGTAGAGATTTCCCACATATAGCTACCATCCCACCCTTCCACCCATGCATACTGCATGAGTCTTTTAACTGGGATATCTGCCCATGATCTTTACATAGGGAATTTGCAAATATACCATACCTTACATGCTAAAACATCCCAAATACACATTTTAAGTTTCTAGAAAGCACCCAGTCAAAACCCCAACTTTTATCTCTAAAGCAAAAGAGGGTCCCAAACCATTATAAACTCCTGAAGGCAAACCTTACTTGGTTTTGCTCTACACCATTTTGAAGAAAGCTTATAAAAAGTGCCCCAGTATGATAATATTTTTAGTATTAAAAATCTGAATTGTTGGCTCGGCGCCTGTAGCACATTGGTTACAGTGCCAGCCACATGCACCGAGGCTGGTGGGTTTGAACCCAGCCTAGGCCTGCTAAACAACAATGAAAACTACAACAAAACAATAGCTACTTGTGAGGCCGAGGCAAGAAAATTGCTTGACCCCAAGAGTTTGAGTTTGCTGTGAGCTATGACATCGGGGCACTCTATTAGGGGCAACAAAGTGGGACTCTGTCTCAAAAAAAAAAAAAAATCAAGGCCGGGCATGGTGGCTCACACTTGTAATCCTAGCACTCTGGGAAGCCAAAACGGGTAGATTGTCTGAGCTCCTGGGTTCAAGACCAGCCTGAGCAAGACTGAGATCCTATCTCTAAAAATAGCTGGGCATTATGGCAGGCATCTATAGTCTCAGCTACTTAGGAGGCTAAGGCAAGAGAACCTCTGGAGCCCAAGACTTTGAGCTTTGAGGTTGCTATGAGCTGTGATGCCACAGCGCTCTACTGAGGGCAACAAAGTGAGATTCTGTCTCAAAAAAAGAAAAAATTAGGGTGGTGCCCATGGCTCAGTGGGTAGGATGCCAACCACGTGCACCAGGGCTAGTGTGTTTGAGCCTGGCCCAGGCCAGCTAAACAACAATGACAAGTGCAACAAAAAAATAGCCAGATGTTGTGGGGGGCACCTGTAGTCTAGAGAGGCTGAGGCAGGAGAATCACTTGGGCCCAGGAGTTTGAGGTTGCTGTGAGCTGTGATGCCACAGCACTCTACCAAGGGTGACATAGTAAAACTCTGTCTCAGAAAAAAAATCAGAATATATGATCAGTTTTTAAATTGCTTTTTGAGAACACAGAAAGCTTCCTGAAAGATATAGTTCTGATGTGAGTTAAAGGGACAAAAAGAAAAGAATACTGTGAAATCCAGACACGGCCTTCACATCCAATAATAGCTGAAAGGCCATGATAATTAAATTTCAAGCCTTGCCCAGCTCACATGTAGTCAGTCCTATAAATGAGTTGTATTCTCTTTAGAAAAGAGTAGCAACTTTTCCTCCTTAGATTAGGAAGAAGTGCCCCACAGGAAATTCACATACTGCACCATCTAGAGGCCAAAGTGCCTGTCAGTTTTTTGTTGTTGTTGAGACAGAATCTCAAGCTGTTGCCCTAGGTAGAGTGCCATAGCTCCATAGCTCACAGCAACCTCCAACTCTTGGGCTTAAGCAATCCTCTTGCCTCAGTTTTTCTATTTTAGTAGAGATGGGGTCTCACTTTTGCTCAGGCTGGACTCATAAGCTCAAGCAATCCACCTGCCTTGGCCTCCCAGAGGACTAGAATTACAGGTGCAAGCCACCAAGCCCGGCTATGCCTGTCATTTTTCATTAAGCTTTTGGTGAGAGGCTGAAGGATGATTGACTCTGGCTAGAGATTTTAAAATGACAAACTAAGGTAATTCATGCTACATACGGAACAATAGAAATAAATCTCAGGCTGCTGGAAAAATAACCTGAAGTGGCTCGGTGCCTGTGGCTCAAGCGGCTAGGGCGCCAGCCACATACACCTAAGGTGGCAGGTTCGAATCCCCAGCCCGGGCCCG